CTCCTTCTCCCTCTCCCTCTCTTACCTGTGGGGTGTTTCTTAGCACAAAATTCCATGGCATTTGCTGGTCAGCGTTTAGGCCCATAAGAGACGCTGAAATGGAGGGGAAAAGGAGGATGAGGGGGGGAAAACAACCAAGCCAACATGCTAAACCTGGTTACTAAACTTAAGCCTCTTCTCAAATTCCCACAATCCGTCCGTCCAGAAACCAACCAGGCCGCGAGAATCCCCCAAACCCCGGGAATATTAACCCTGATATTCATCATTTATTCGATTTACAGAGATTCTGAACCATTCACAAATGGGGGGGGAGAAAGCGTTTAAAAACAAGGTAAACTAACAAACCCAGATGGGAACAAGAGAAAAGGGGGAAAAAGTGGCGCCTTTCCATTAACCCGGGTTAAGGCTAACTAGGTTTATACCCAACCTGGTTAATCGGAGGCCTGTTTAGAAGATCTAAGAGAACTTGGGCCGGGAAACAAATCCGATGTGGAGGACTTCTAAATATCAGAATCATTTCAATTAAATTTAATTCGTTTAAAACCTTTCAAAAGCCATTCATAGTAGGGATGGAGTAGAAGATTTCGTCCAAACATTGAAAAAGCAACGATTCCTTCCAACTACCTTGAGCCGAGCTGCGGGACTCCCTGCCACAAGGAATGGCACGGACAATTTGTCACGGAGATTCGCGACAAATTGGGTATGAGGGCTGTCACTCCCCAGTAACCCTGGTTAGGGCTGAGCTGGTCATACAAAGCAGCGACAGGGTTGAACTCCGCTAAACCACGATCCAATTGTGGCTTGTGAACGAGGCCGGCGGTAGGGTGTGAAGCCGGCGTTTTGAATCCTCGGCGTTGAGAGGCGAGACGCTCCCCGGCTTAAAAGAACATTTTCAACCCAAACGGATGGGGGGAAGAAGAAGGAGGAGGAGGAGGAGGAGCAGAAGGAGGAGGAGGAGGAGAAGAAGAAGAAGAAGAAAAGGAAGGATAGAAAGGGAAGAAAAGAAAGAAGGGAATGAGAAGAAGGAAAGGCAGAGGAGGTGGAGAGGCGGAGAAGAAAAGGAGAAGAAAAAGAAGAAAATAAGAAACTGGAGGAGGAAGGAAAGGAGAAGGAAGGAGGAGGAAGGAGGAGAAAAAGAAGAACAAAAGGAAAAGAAAAAAGGAGAAGCAGGAGAAAGGAGAAAGAAAGAAAGAAAGAAAGAAAGAAAGAAAGAAGAAAGAAAGAAAGAAAGAAAGAAAGGAGAAAGGAAGGAAGGAAGGAAGGAAGGAAGGAAGGAAGGAAGAAAGAAAGAAAGAAAGAAAGAAAGAAGAAAGAAAGAAAGAAAGAAAGAAAGAAAGAAAGAGAAAGAAACCAATTCTGAATTCTATAACGGAGGCGATGCCGCTCCATTTTCAACCCAAACGGATGGGGGGAAAAGGCTGTTTTGTTGTGTGAGAATAACACCCACACCCACAAACACACCTTAAGTTTCTAAATTGCTGCTTCCTCTTTCGGAAACGCAACACAATTGTGGCAAGCAAAATAAACGAAAGCCACAAAATTGTCGTTCTGTCCGGACCGTCGGACCCGGGTGCGAGGATGTGCCGAAATTGCGCAGAGTGGTTTTGGATTGTCGCTAGCGACGACGACGCCGGGAGAGATAAAACGGGGACCCTGCCTTGACCGAGGGTCTTCTTCGGGGTGTGTGTGTCCCGTCCGTCGTCCCCCCCACACAAACACAACCACCCCTTGCGAAAACCACACAACGTTTCCTTTGCAAAATTGTAAATTGTAAAAAAAAATATTGTGGTTGCTTTTTCCGCTGGAGGTGCGACGTGACAAATGCAACAGACAAAACACACACAAGAGTGCAGCCTCGCAACTGTCCCCCCCACACACCAGTGAAATGCGCTGGAAATACCCCCCCCAAAAAAATATTCGCTTTGGAGACGCAACAAACCGCAATGGGGAGGAATAAGGACTGGCTGGGGGGGATGGGAGGTGTAGTACCCCTAGGGTGCTGGGTGAAAGAGCGGAGAAGGCTACCTGGCCTTCCCCCCCCCCCAAAAAAGAAAGGGAATAGGCAGCAGCTCTTCAGAAAACCATGGATTACAAAGCCCATCAGCTGAGGGTAGCTGGGAAGGGTGGGTTCTGGAGTCAAAGGAGAAACTGCCTTATGGGTCATTTCTGGGGAGAGGGGTGGCTATGTAAATTAGAGAGAGAGGGGGAAAGAAAGAAAGAGAAAGAAAGAAAGAAAGAAAGAAAGAAAGAAAGAAAGAAAGAAAGAAAGAAAGAGAAGCAGGCAAGGAAGGAGGGAGTAAGAAAGGAAAGAAAATTGAGGGAGGGAGGGAACGAAGGAAGAAAGAAATAAGGCAGGGAAGGAGTAAGGAAAGAAAATGAAGGGAGGAAGGGAGGGAAGGAAGGAAGGAGGCAGGGAAGGAGTAAGAAAGGAAGGAAAATAGAGGGAGGGAGGAAAATAGTGAGGGAGGGAGAGAGGGAAGACAGGAAGGAAGAAAAGAAGGAAGGGTGGGAGGGAGGGAGAAAGAAAAAAAAGAAAGAAGGAAAGAAGGAAGCAGGCAGGGAAGGAGGGAGGGAATAAGAAAGGAAAGAAAATAAAGGGAGGGAAGGAAGGAAGGAAGAAGACAGAGAAAGAGTAAGAAAGGAAAATAGTGAGGGAGGGAGAAAGGGAAGAAGGAAGGGAAAGAAGGGAAAGAAAGAAGAAAGAAAGAAAGAAAGAAAAAGAAAGGAGAAAGAAAGAAAGAAAGAAAGAAAGAAAGAAAGAAAGAAAGAAAGAGGGAGGCAGGCACGAAAACAGAAAGATAGAAACTCATCCCTAACCATCTCTGAACAGATGCCGCATTCAGCAGCCAAAACTATTTAATTTTTTTAAAAAAACAGAAAAAGGCTGGTAATTTTTTTCAAAAAAAAACAGGCCAGGAAAGAGCTCCTAGTCCTCAACGTTTGTCCTTGTTCGCACTCGTTCCAGGAGATCCGTCCGGCTGGGGTGGGGGTGGGGGGGACATCCGCCATGTGGCCGAAAGACTTCAAGAAGCAAAGCATCTGTGTTTCGACTCCTTCCTTCTCTTTGTAAACTATCCCCAAAGTTATCAAAACACCCACAAAGGAGCTTTTTCCCCGAGCTCAACACTGGGGGGCTTTTTTGGGGGGTCTTTGAAGCCCCCCCAAATCAAAAACCAACCTTTCCCCCCTCCCTCTCTTCGCCCCCCTAACTTTGTTCCTTACGCAAATATTTCATTCCCCCAAAACCGCAAAAACGTGGAGCAATAAGAAAAAAATTCCCAAAACTTTTGCAAAACTCAACTTTCCTTCCCCCTGGATCGAATCCTGGATACATATTTTGGGGAGGGGGGGGAGGAAGGCAGAGCTCCAGAAAAGCTCTGTTTTGGGGGGGCAATTCTGGAGCGGCAAAAAATTTGGGGACAGGGACAAGTTTGAAGGCCAGCATCCACGCCTTTAGGGTGTGCCGAGAAAAGTTTCCAACCAGAGAAAATAAACTACTGGTTTTAGAAGGGAAAAAAAAATAAGGCTATTTAAGGCGAAAATAGCTTGGGAAAAATATAAGTTTTCCAAAAGTTTTCCCCCAAAAAACAAACAAATCCGGCCTTGTTCTCCATCCGTCGCTCATTTCCACCTCTCCAAACTTTCCCAAACTTTCTCGGGATGCTACAAACTCTCATTCCCTTCATCCCGCTTTGCCCCCTCACCTGACATCCTCAAAACAAGCCAGGATTCGGGGGGTCTCAAACGGGGCAGGGAATCCACCAGGCCTGCCCGCCTGCCAGGATGACACGAAAGCAAACAGCTCTCTTTTCCAAGTTGGGCAAGAATCCAAAAGAAAATAACTTTTTTTTTTGGAGAGGTTTAGACAAATAGAAAAAAGCCAGCATTGAAGCCAGAGAAGGGATGAGAGGGCAGGAGCCATGAAGAAGGTGGGGAGGAAAAACCCAACAATCTAGGTTT